ACCTCCTATGAGCTAGGAATTGGAATGTTTGCAAAGCATTTTTGAACAATCTCCTGCTAAAAATTTGTACCCAAGGGTTAGCTTTTGCCTTTTTAATCCAATTAAAAGGTTTCCAAACTTGTTGCTGCTGAAAGCCAATGATCATCCCAGGAATAGACATCCCTGAGCCTTGATAAATAAGTTCTCTGTCATCTTCTCGCTGAATTGGATCAATTTTGATCTTAAGAACAAGCTCCACAAGCTCCCTACCAAAAACCTACTTCAAGTTATCTTCATTCCAGTTTTCACCTTCAATGAATTTGCTCAGCAAAAACTCCTCATCACTTTGAGGAGCTACAAATGTTGGCCATTCATTAATTCTTCTATCAAGTATCCACTTATCCTTGAATACATTGATTGAATCCCCATTAGCTATTTTCCATTTGATGAAAGGGTCAAGAACTTCACCTCCATTGCATAAAATTTTCAAAGAAGAAGAAAATTTCTTAATCTCAGATGCTCCAAATCTTATGCCATACTTGGGTGCCAGAATTCTATGTAATAAAGAATCCTTATTATGCAGGTATCTCCAAGACAGTCTAGCTCTAAGAGGAGCTACCCTTGTTGTGGAAGAAAACAATCCACAACCTCCTCGCTTCAACGACTTACAAAGATCTTCCCAGCTAATATAATGCAACCCAACATTACCTCCAATTTTGTTCCAAAGAAAGCCTCTACATATTTTATCTATTTCTTTGAGCACTTGAACCGGCACCAAAGAATGTGTGTTGTAATAGTTTGGAATAGCTAGGATAACAGTCTTGACTAAGATTATCTTTCCAGCTAAAGATAATGATTTGGTCCCCCAAATATTAAGCAATCTAAATGCTTTCTCAATAATGAAATAAAAATCAATAGCCACCATTCTACTCAAAGCCATCTTTATGCCAAGATAAACAAATTCCTTAACTTGTTTAAACCCCATAATCTAGGATAAATATTTCTTTTTCCTTCTATTGACATTATTCCCAAAGAGAATGGAGATTTCTCTACATTAATGCTCTATCCAGTCCACATACTAAAATTGGAGAGAATAGCTTTAACTTCATAAACCGCCTTCCTGGATGCTTCTGAGAAGATCATAACATCGTCAGCAAATAGTAAATGCGAAATTTGTGGACTATTAGAACATAGTCCAATTCCAATAAAAGAATAAGAAAATGCATTTGAAAGTAGTTGGGAGCAAAGGATGAATAACATAGGGGACAATGGGCATCCCTGATGAAATCCGCATTCAGCATTAAGCCATCCTGATAACTTTCCATTTATAATGATAGAGAATCTGGGATTTAATAGACATTCCAAAATCAGTTTTGAAATCATATCTGGGAACTCAAAATAGTTCAAAACTTGTTTAAGCGTTGTCCAGCTCATAGAATCATAGGCTTGCTCCATATCTACTTTGTAGGACACCATCCTTTTAGCTGCCTTCAAGTACCTGAACTTGTGAAACATTTCTTGGGCTATCAGCATATGAGCTGAAATGGACCTACCTCTGATAAAGGTAGCCTGCTCTTCCGAGATAAGAAAAGGAATCACTTGAAGTAATCTGTTAAAGATAACCTTCGCAGCAACTTTATAGACAGAGTTGCATAGGCTTTAGGCCTGTAGTTGGATGGCACCAAAGGATTAGAAATCTTTGGAATGAGAACCACAAGCGTGTCTTTCCAATTACAATCCATACTTCCCAGATTTAAGAAATGTTTTATAGCCTTTAAAAAATCATCCTTGATAATTTTCCAGTAAAATTTGATGAAGGAATATGTAACACCATCACTTCCCGGAGCTATGTTCTTACCCAGATTTCTTATAACAAAATCAATCTCCTCCACTGTGAAATCACTGGACAGCAGCTTTTTATCTTCAGGTTTCAAAATTTCATGGGATATGGCCAATCTTCCATCCTACAGTTCCTCTGTCTCTATTTGGTCTTGAAAAACTGCATAAAAACATCTTCAATTTGACTATGTTCTTCTAAAACCATTCCATCATCATTTCTAATTTTAATAATAATGTTGCCGATCCTTCTAGCACTAGCAAATAAGTGGTAGAATTTAGAATTACAATCTCCCTCATTCATCCATTTTACCTTCGCTCTCTGTTTCCACCAACCACATAAATGAGCCATTATAGCAATGAGTTCAATCACTTTAGATTTCAACCTCCAATAGTCCTCATCAGAAAGCCAGCCAACCTCAGCTTCAACTATCTGCAGCTTCAAAATTTCCTCCATTAAACTACCTTTAAGTTCATTAATGTTCTTCAACTTAGCCTTGCTCCAAAAGAACAAAGATTTAAGAGTTCTTTTACATTTAGCATTCAATATTTGGGAACAATCTCCACTGTAATTCTTGCTCCATTCCCTCTTCGCCACAGCTAATGATGCCAGATATGAGGCCCATAAATCCTCAAATTTAACACTCCTCTTAGCAGTGACTTTATAATTGATAAAATTAAGAACTAATGGGCTATGGTTAGAGGCAATTCTAGCAATATTCCTCACAGCTAACTGAGAAAAAGAGTTCAAAGCAATAGAATTTAGAAAGCACTTGTCAAGTCTCTCCAAGATCCGAGCACCTCCAGATTTGTTGTTACACCATGTATACTGTGGGCCAATGAATCCAATCTCATGAAAGTCATTGTTAGTAATGAAAGTTTCCATTTCTCTAGACCCTTGTGTAAAAAGAAAATTTTTCCCACCTCGTTTGTCTTCCTTTGAAGTGAGACAATTGAAGTATCCTCCTACAACCATGGGATACTCCTCCACATAGTATAATTCAAGTAACTCCCAAAGCTCCCTTCTTTTGACTAAGTCTTTGTTACATAGACCGAATCCACTCTCCATTTGCAATTACTGTTAATGGATAAATCTCCAATAACACATTGTGATGAAGATCCAACCATGGTAAAATCAACCAAGTTTGAGTTCCAAAGAACAATAATCCCTCCAGAAAGCCCATTCGAAGGGACCATAGCAAATTCCCATCCATCTCCCATAAGCATATTCACCTCCCTTATGTCAAAATAAGATATTTTAGTTTCAAACAACCCCAAAAAAACAACATTGTGCATCTTGACAATCTCCTTTATGTATAGAGAAGCACTTTTCTTCCTTGCACCACTACAGTTCCAGAATACCAAGGAATTCATTGAAGAAGAATTGTGGGAGATAATCCCACTTTGCATTTCATGTCCATTTCCAACCTCCTACTCCTTGGGATATTGCTGATTGGCCCAAGGTCTTTAAGTTGCTTTGATTTCTTCTTCTTCACACAGCTGGAAACATCTCCTCTGTCATTTGCAGCTGAGTGATCAGCAGTGTTCATATTTTGTTCTTCCTTCTTATCAATAGGATCTACATTGTCCATCGACCCAATATCAATATCTTGAATAATCTCTCCTTCTTCAATAAATTCTTTCAACGCATTGAATCTATTTTCAATCAAAGGAATATTAAAACCATTCCTTTTAATCTCCTGAGGTGCTTCCTTATTAACATCCAGCTTTGAACTCAAAGTTGCTTCTTCAGGAACATTACTTTTAGCCAAGAGACCTTCATCTGGATTCCAACCAATATCTTCATTAGCATTCCCCTTTTCTTCAATCTTCTTTTTAACTACTGTTCTTCTCCATATTATCTTCTTTACTGGCAATTGAGTTGTTTTGTTGAATTGACTAGAACCATTCTTCTTTCCATGGTTAACTATCAGCCATGGACCATAGCTTCCTGAATTGAGATTCTCCATGCCATCTTCTCTTCTAACATCATTTCTTTCCTTTTCTGGAACATTATTTCCATCCCCCTTAGGTTTGAAACCTGAAGATACATCTCCTTCCCCACAACCTTTATTCGTGTGACCAATAAATCCACAATTGAAGAAAAAAATGGGAATACACTCATATTCTATCTTCTGATAGAATTTCCCAGTTGCACCTTCCACCCATACACCTACATGAAGCTTTTGATCAAGTTTAATTCAGAAACATACCCTTCCGAATTTTCTTCTTCCCCATTGGAACATGTTTCCATCAAGTAGGATTGGTTTCCCAACCATAGAAGCAATTATGCATACATTTAAGTTGTCCCAGCAGTGCAGAGGAAGGCTCGAAAGCTTGATCCAAATCAGTGATGCCAATCCTCTAAGAGAGTTGGGATCAAAGCTTTGGGATCATTTGTCCATACCAATAATCTTCCCATTCACAAGCTAAGGTCCATTAGATAGGACCGACTCCATACTCTGATTTTCCTGGAACGAACACAAAACCCAGCACATACTGAGCATGGTAAGATGAAATTTGCCATATTGTGCCCACTGTCTTCTAAGTTCCATGCTAATAATTGACAATGGACCCTCCCCTCCAAAGATTTTGATGACCAAAGAGTTAGTAAGTCTCTTGGTATTTTCCATCACATTCTTCTCAAGCAATTTAACAGACATCCCATCTTCATAAAGGAAATCACCAAGATGCAGGTCTTCAACTGGGATGTATTCTCTTCTTTTCCAAGCATTCATTTGAATAGCATCAGTAATACATTCAGTAATCTGAATATCTTCATTTCCTCCACCAGTATCTGTTGATTCCACTTCTCTTACCTTAAGTAAGTCACATAATCAAACTTTGTTCTCCAACACAGGTGCCACATTTCCATCACCATTAACCAGACCATCTTTTGGGATTGTTGTTTCATTATCTTCAGAATTGATAATGTTTTTTCCATTGATAGAATTCACCTCATCACAAGATTCAAAACAGAGTTTCCTTTAACAAAAACTATTTTCTCAATCGGATGTAAATTGGAAGGGGAAGCTTCATGGCCATTGTCGAACATCTTTACTTATACAGATTTGATCTTCTTGAATCCATCCTCCAGAATAACATTCTTTCCTTTGCCTATTACTTTCGGTTCCTTCTTCTCCAGATAGCCTCCTTTGTTGATGATCAAACTTGTTCCTCTACCTATGAATTTATTGATATTTCTCAGGTTAGATTTCCCATCACCGAAAGCTGGTGGTGAGGACGGAAATGATCTAATAGAGGATATCAAAGCTCTTGAAGACGACGATCATCTTGTTTCCCTCCGGCCATCAGATGCCGGTGAACATCTACTGCCATTCGATCTCCGAATTTCCCACGGAGATCGAAATTTGAAAATTCTATTAAATCCCAACATTTCCTTAGACTTTCTCTCTCTACTTTCTCTCTCCATATTCACCATATTCAGAACATAACAAGTCATACTAACTATTTCAAACAAAAAAAAATTTTAGAAGTGAGTATTATGCCAACATGATTCTAGTAGCTTCTATCAAAGTTCAATTACTTTTTTTGATAATCTCATTCTATTGAGGGGTCCTAGGTGTTAAAAAATTGTGATCAATTTCTTGCTCTCTATAAAATTCTTCAAATTTCTTATTTTTAAACTCTCTTCCATTATCACTTTAAATTAATAAAATCTCACACCCTAGTTTTCTCTAAATCTAAGTAAAAAAACTTCTAAATTCATTAAATGATTCACTCTTATGAAATAAGAATTTGAACCAAGTGAATATTAAAAAATCATCAACTATTACAAACCCAAAAATTTTATCTCCTAGACTTACAGTGCTAATCGGTCCAAAAAGATAAATGTATAGGACTTCTAAAGGTTTGCTAGTTCTAAGATCCTTAATTGAATGAAAGGAGGACTTCACCTATTTTTCTAATTAGCATGGATCACACAGGTGATCCTTAGTGATGTCTAGTTTGGATATACCTCTAACAAATTCTTTTTGGGTAATCTTCCTATGATTTTTTAATTATTGCATGACAAAGTCTTCAATGTCGTAACTATTATTCATTAGTAATTATTTTGAGGCAAAAATTATTAGAAGATTTAATAAAATTCAAATTAAGTATGTACATATTATTTACCCTAATTCCATGCTACACATCAATTCCATTTTGGCTTATTATGTAGCTTGTAGGAAAAAATATAACACTATAACCTTTATTATAAAAGCCAATTAATACTCAATAAGTTATATTTTAATCCTTCAACTAATAATATATTTTCAATGAAAAAAATTGTTCATGTTGCCAATCATACCTGTAACTACCAATTTTCTTATGGTTGTCTCCTATTATCACTTTTCCTCCATTCCTGACTTCCAGTAATATAAATTGTGTTATGTTTCCAGTCATATGCTTTAAACATCATTTGTCTAGGAACTAAATGCTCTCATGAGAACTTATATAAGAGCATTTCTATAAAATGATCAAACATTAGACTTGGGATCCCAAATAAGTTTAGGTTCTCCTTTTGGCAATAATATTCTAAATGCTTGTTTGATATGCTATGATTTATGCATCTTAGGTCTCCACACTAGATGTGTTTTACTATGAATCGTATAAATGTGTGAGATATGACCAATCAGTCCATAAGAAAAATATTTATCTCTAGGAATATGATTTAACAATCTATGTGAGTTATATTGTCTTTTCCTAGGTTTTAAAATTTTATGCTTCTGATCAGGATTAGAAAGTTAGTTAACTTTTTGGGGTGTCCTATTTTGCTCAAGAGCTTTCAATTTTACTTTAAGATATGAGTTAGCACTTTCTTAAATAGAATTTTAAGCTCTTAACTCATGTTCTCTTTGATTTGTTTCATATATATGCACCTTATATTCATTTTCAAGATCAATATTAGATATGTTTAATAATTCATGTTTCTTGTTCAAATCATCAAATTCATCTAGCAATTTCATGTGGTTACTTTCAATTAATGTGTGATCATTCATAAGGATTTCATGCTCTTTTTATAAATTTGAATACTCTATATTCAGTTTGGCATGCAATTTTTTAAAGTTTCCTATATATAGTATGAATTTTCTTAGAAATGTCAAATAACTTATCATAAGATAAATCACATACCTCCTATTAATCTGACTGATAAAGCTTGCCTGCTATTAAGCACAAGTTTGTGACTTTTCTTCTACTTTTGTTTCTAAGGAATTTGAAGCTGAAATCCACCCAAAATGCTCTTTATAGTCTTTTCTTACCCTTCTTAACATTGGTTTTCTCCTCAACTTTCTCCTTTTTAGGATTAGCTAAGGGAAATCAGATTTAATATATCTAGACTACCTACATTCATAAAAAATTATGTCATTTGAAACTTTTGCATTCTTATTGAATTTACCTTTATTCCACAAATGATGTTTTCATTGTTTTCTCCTAAGGAAACTTTTGAATTGACATGTCATTAAGGCAATATCTTCATCATCCTCAGGTAAAGATTGATCAATGTCTGAATCCTCCACTTTTAATGTTATTTTCTTCTCCTTTCACTTGTCACATGCATCAATCTGTCTTTGAGTCACTTCTTGCTCGTAAGAAATTAGTGATCCAAGCATATTGTTAATATAATAAATATTTTAGTCTTTTGACTCAATTATGGCAGTTATCTTTTCATCATAAGTAGTAGGTAAATAATGAAGAATTTTATTAACTTTCTTAGAATTCATTAGTTCCATACATAAAGTATACAATTAGGTAATTATCTATATGAAATGAGTATACATGTCAGTGATTGATTCATTTGATTTCATGAAAAAAGTTCATAGTCATATAATAGAATATTCAATCTAGATTATTTCACCTCACCAGTCCCATCATACATTATCCAAAGTCTATCCCAATTTTCTTTTTTAGTTTTATAGGTTCAAATATGCATATAGTCCTCAGATTTTAGGGCATAGAAAAAATTGTTCAAGCATTTAGTGTTTAACTGAGCTAAGTCTTTTTCTTCTACTATACAATCAATAAATATTATTTCAGTTCTTATGCCATCAACAAGTTTAATGAGTCAAGTGTAGCCTTCATGTACCAAAATTTAAATGTGATAGTCAAGTGATTGCAGAAATGTAGGCATATGAGTTTTTCAAAAGTCAAAATAAATGTTATCAAATAGTGGTGGTCTAGTAATCCAATATCCTTCAGGAGTGTTCCAGTTTCCAAAAGTAGCCATGATCAATTTCAAAAAGTAATTTAAACCTTATTTTTTGAAATAGGCTCTAATACCACTTGAAAGTTTGAATAGGTTGTCCCAAGGCTAACAAAGAAAGGGTGAATTGACTATTTAAAAATATATTGGTAATTTAAAAAATCAATTTAGATATTTTTTATAATAATTAAATTTTTTTCAAAAATATTTTCAACCACAAAAAATTAAATGTGAATAAAATAAAAAGTTATAAAAAGTAAGACAAAAGAACACCAAATTTTATAGTGGTTCGGTTCAACTAGACTTTTGTCCACTCCTTAAAGCCTCCTTCAAGTATTTCACTATACCAAAGTGACTCTCTTTTTACTCCCACAGCAAGGCAGAGAAGCCCTCACAATAATCTCTCTTCCATAAAACCCTGGTATGGTAGAGAACCGATATCCTTTCTCACCCTCCTAGTGATGGCAGAGTATCAACATCCTTTTCTCACCCTCCTAGTAATGGGAGAGTACCAATGTTCTTTCTCACGCTCCTGGTGATGTAAGAGTACCAACATCCTTTCTCATCCTCCTGGTGATGGTAGAGTACCAACAATCTTTCTCACCCTCCTGGTGATAGTAGAGTACCAATGTCCTTTTTCACCCTCTTTATGATGGCAAAGTATCAAATCTTCTCCAAAGATCTTCTCTCAAGAGTCTTCAAAGAAGTAGGGTATAGATTTGAAGAACATACAAAGAGATCCTCACCTTTTGACATTCTTATGAACCCTTCATAATTTCCACTAGTAAGATCTCTCAATCTTCACTCCTAAAACACTCTCACTATCACTTATAAGAGAAAATTTGTAGAAGAAGTAGGATAGTCAGTTTTTAGGACTTTTATATATGAAAGACAAGAAAAAACATCTAGAAAATTAAAAATTTCAAGTTGAATGTATTTGGATCATATAGTACGATCATACTTTATGTTGCAAATTTGGATTCAAGGATTATAATTTTTATGATGAAAAATATTCCTTGCATTCATGTTTCTCTACTATTGTTACTACTACACATATATTTTTTCCCTTCCTACTAATATTTTAAGTCCACAAAGTCAATTACATTTCAAACCAACTCAAGATTGGGTAGATTAGGACTGAGTGATTCTATATTTATAATTCTAGTGGTTTTTCCTTTTCTTGAGTCAAATGTATTAATGTGAATCCTGATACCAAGTAACCTTACACACACACACTTAGGCAGAGAAATTTTATAAGGTATAGGATTTTTCTATTTTTGATAATATCATATAGGATTTCCAAAAACATCATGGCTGATTAATTAAAAACAAAAACCTTAGCTTTTATGTTAAGACAATCAAATTAAGCAAATCATTTTGGATGATATTCACATTATCCTAGATGATAGGCTCAAATAAGAAAAACTCAGTTGCCAAACTCTATTAGGAAAGAAATTATTTTAAGAAATCATACAAGATGATCTCATATCATCCTGGATGATTTATTGTAATCATGCCTAAATAAGTTAGGAGATTAAGGAAAGTAATTAAGGTTAGATTGCTCGATCATATCATCCTCAACGATTATAGGATTGTCTAGGACAATAAGTAAGAAAAATCTTAGTTTACTTCAGAATTACCTAGACGACCCAAATGATTTTTTGGATGATAATCATTGATTTTAAACTAATCATACAGGACAATCTAAACATCATCCTGGATGATAAGTTATATTTCTTCATCATCCAATATGCATCTCCTGGATAACTGGAATGATGTGTTTGACAATATGTATGATTTTGAGCAAATCGTATAGGATGATGTTTATATCACTCTGGATGATCAAAACAAATAATATATTTTAATTGTCGAGCCCTTCCAGATCATCCTATCTAAAAGGGCTAAAATACACTGATCATACAGGATGATATATCAATCGTCTTGGATGATCTTTAACCACAAGTTATAAATTAGGGTAAATTTTAAGGCCCTCTTTATAAGATCTCTTAGTTATTTATGTTGAAATCTTTTATTGTTATCCAGACATGATAAATCATAAAGAAGGAGAGGGAGAGTTTGGGAGAGAGAAAATCTTATTAGGGGGAGTTTATAAGAA